GTTGGAGCCAATCAAGTCCCAAGTACAGTTTGGGTTTTTTTGTTTGTTTGTTTTTTTGCTTTTTAAGGAAAACTAATTACTATTACGGTGGAATGGGGAAACCTGGTCCCATAAACAGAGGAATATAATGATAAACTCTAAATTATATACTTACAATTAATCATACAATCAGTCATGTATAAATCATATATTAATATACCATATAATTATACTATATTAAAATAAGGGATATTAATAAAATTAAACATGTATTTATAAATTATCTATTTCCCTAAAGCAGAGGTGGCATGGTTTGATGGGAAGAGCATTTGACTTGGAGTCAGAAAACTTTTATTGTTGCTTCTTTTCCCCTGACGCTTTTGAAGCTTTGTGACTATGGAACATTCACATAACCTTTGCGTACTTCATTCTCCTCAATCTCTAGAAAGGGAATAGTAACACTTGTACTACATAACTCAGAGAGATGTGTTACTCAAATGAGAAAATATGTGAAAAATGGAGCTTTATAAAATGTCCATATTGCCTCTATTGCAATTGCCTTTTTGATGTCTCAGGCTTCCCACTTATCCACCTTATGTACACCCAACATACTACTGCAGGCTAATCTAAAGCCACGTATTCAAACATCACAGAGTTGCAGAATCAGAGTTTTAGAGTTGAAAAGAGATCTCAGTGGCCATCTATTCCAACCTGTACCTGAAAAGAATCCATTATAGCATATCTGATAGTCATCTCATCGCTATTTGATAATCTCCAAGTTTTTCATGACTTCAAAAATAAAACTTCTTCTTTGTAACTTCTACCCACAGTTCCTGGTTTTCTTACTCTCTAGCCAAACAGAATAAGCCTAATACCTCTTCCATATGACAGTTCTTCAAATTCTTGAGCATATCTACTATATCACTTCTGAGTCTTCTCTTCCATAGGAATTGGCATCCCTAGGTCCTTCAAATGATCCTCCAGAGATAGGGACTCAACTATTCTGATTGGTCTTCTTTGGAAAATCTCCAACACATCAGTATCCTTTTTAAAGTGTCCAAAACGAAACACACTACAGAAATACTTTGATCATGGCAAAATACAGTGGGACTGTTAACTATGGCTATTTACACAGGATGTCCCACAAATCTCAGTGAAATTTTAAGCTATTAAAGCTTAAACAGGGTGTCCCAAAAGTCTTGGTGTAGTTTTAAGTTATTAACAAAGCTCTATCCTCTTTGCTCATTCTTTCCTTTATTTCATTACAGATATTGACCTATAGTTTTTTTTTCCTCTGCTTTATCTTTCCCTGGTTTACATACACAGTTTTAAAAAGGTGTCAGTAAGAAATACATATCTCATTAATTAAAATTAATTAATTTTAGGAATAATACATAATTTCTTGAATTATTTATAATCCAATATTTAGGAATTTTATTTTAATCTCTATGTATTTCATGCTTTCCTTTTATTCTTGCACATTCTTTACATACATAGATGCTGAAGGACAGCTGTATCCTTCTTGACCCACAGATGAAGAAACTGAGGTTGAGCTTTTTAATAAATGGTTCAGAGTCATACAAGGAATCTAGGGTTAGAAATCAGATCTCTTTGTTCAGTGAGTTCAATAACAGACTACTTCCCCTGGACACTTGACATATGTGATATTTAAGAATAATGGTCTTTACGGTCTCAGCACTTTAAAGAGCCTCATTTCAGTTTATAAATTTCAAGTTCAAAGCATTTTCACTGTACTGCTTTTAATTTAGTATTTTATTATAGGAGATCAAATTTTTTCTCTAGGTCTTCAGGAAATAGTCATCCAATTTTACTAAGTTCTAACAACAGGTATTATCCATAAAACTGTAATAAGGAATTAAAATTAAGCTAAATTGTTGGCTTAACTTCCAGATTAATAATTGTCTTATGAGTGAATAAAACAATACATGATATCCATAAGATGAAGCAATGATTTAAATGTTAATATCTATCTAGCTATGTTATCTGTCTAATTTTTTACTTTTAGCAGTGAAATGGTTAATATTTTTTAATTGGTAAGCCCAAAAAAAGACTAGTGACAGAAGTGGGGCTATTTTTTTTCCTATGTAACCTAGAACAATCCAGCCTCAAATTTCACTGGTGCTAAAGACTAATCCTGCTATTCTCATACAGGCCCTAGTCCTTGTATTGTTGTTGTTTGTCCTTCTTTCTTGAAAAGGACCATGACATGGCGGAGGTGATGTCATGACCTGCAAGTAAATTGGACTGAAGTGAAGCAAGGCTTAAGTCACCAGACTCACTCTCTCCTCCTGAGCTACTGGACTACTGGAGATGGCCCAGATGCAGTGGAAGACCTTGGCCTTTTTAAGCTAAGGTCTTTCTCAGGTCTCAGTTTGTCTGAGGCAACACCCATTCAGTGATTAAGACTAGGTAAAGAAATGAGGCCTCTTCTACCTCGCAAAAAAAAAAAATCTATCTGGATTTACCCTCAGGGTTGCTGTCAAAACAGAAATAATTGCTATTTACACTCACTCTGAACCATCAGAGCCCAAACAATGACTTGCACTGGAACCTATTATTGGACAATCAGTAAGAGCCAGATAGTGTAGTCATTGCTGTAATAGGATCAGAAGAAACTCTTCAGGAGTATTACCTTCATCTGGAACTACCTAAGGAGACTATTGGTAGCATTTACAACCATATGCTATCTAACCCCTAACCCAACTTAAGATCTAGCTTGTATGATCCATCTGTACATCAACTCATTTCCTTTAACAACTTGTCAGTACTATAATAAGAAAAGTTGACTATTTTGAAATTACACATTTTTAATTGTATTGGAATCTGATAAAGGTGAAGTGTCTGGCATATAGAAGAGCTTAGTACTTGATGATTAATTGAAAAGGATAACTTTATGGTTCATAATAGTTAACTAGACTGGATAAAACATAAAACCAAACAAAATTTCAAATGTACAGCATAGTGCATCATTGAATGCAAGCTGACTACTAGTTTTCACTGCTTACTGCTGAGAATAGAGAGAAATAGGACAATCCAAAGGAAATGTTTGGGACCAAGTTTGTGACAAGAGAAAAAGAAAGGTGACAATTTGGAGAGTCATTCACTCCTCCTCACTTCATGATAAGTTTGAATCTCAAGGTCAACATATACCAGGGATTCTTAACCTTCTTTGTCCCATAGCCCCTTTGGTTGGGGTGTATGGGGTGTTCACGGAGCACTAGCACCTCTCATGTGAGGGCTTGCCAAGCCCTTTTCAGAGCTGTTCATCCACCTTTGATGTTTACCTTTCACCCAATTCTCATTTGTGGCTCCAAGAAGTTGTAGCATGCACCATGGTCACATTCTGGTAATCTTGTCAGACAGCTAAACCAGGTTGAGGGTAGGGTTACCCACAGACCTCAACTTCATTGGTGAGTTGAGGAAAGGGGGGTGTCTACCCCAAGCATGTGAAAACTTCCCCCAGTAGGATGGACAGATGAGAATAATTTGTTCCAACAACCATGAAGGCAGCTGAAGCAGGAGCTGTAGAGCATTTAGTGCTTGGTCAGACAACAAGACACCGAGATCTTGATACACCAAAAATACACACTGCATCCCAGACCACTTTTGTTTTGCTACTGGACTTTAATAACTCTGGAAGAGAAAGTGAGGCTGACAACTCTCTGCAACTCTGTTGTTGTTATTGTTCAGTTATCTTCACTCGTGGCCAACTCTCTGTGACCCCATTTGCGGTTTTCTTGGCAGAGATACTGGAGTGGTTTACCATTTCCTTCTCTAGTTCATTTTTTACAGATGAGGAAACTGAGGCAAACAGAGTTAAGTGACTTTCCCAAGGTCACATAGCTACTAAGTATTTCAGGCCAAATTTAAACTCAGGAAGATGAATCTTCAAGACTCCAGACCTGACACTCTATCTACTGCACCACTTAGCTGCCGTGCAACTCTGCCTCACTTAAATCCAATTCACTGGTAAGTCAAGAAATAATCCTGTGATATCATTGATCCTCTTCAAAAAGAAAGGATAAACAACAACAACAGTTATGGACCCCTTTGGGAGTCTGGTGAAAATTATGGATCCTTTCTAAGAAAATTGTTTTTAAATGCATAAAATAAATAGAAAGGGTAACCAATTATATTGAAACACAGTTATCTATCTAAATTTTAAAAATAAGATCTAGAACCCCTGACATACATAATGCAGAATGTAATTGATGACATATTTGCTAGTATACAACTATTGTTTGTTGTTATGAGTATTGGTGTTTGCCAGCTGAAACTGATGATAATGATGATTAATAATAATAAAGGAATAAGCCTTCATTATGAAAACTGAATCACTGAACTGATATTTCATTTTAATATGAGATATGTGGTACAGGAAAGATGAAATAACTGAGGAAACAAAGGTTCAATCTCCCAAGCACATTGATTTATTAAGTAACGAGTCCCAATTGCCTGACAAATCAGTACCAGGCCTGTTCCTCCACTTCAGTCTGGAACCCAAATACAGGCGGAGACACACTTTTATGTTAAAAAACAACAACAATGAATCAAATAAGACCAATTAATTAAAACCAAACAATGTAACATTAGGTAATTTGACTTCTAAATAGAGGAAAGATTTTAGACTTTCCAAGTTGGGAGGGGGAAAGAAAACAGGTACAATTCCCTGAAATTGGAAAAAGAAGTCCCACTCACCCCAAGTGTCTGTGAACAATCAAAGGAACATGGAAACAATGACTGGTTGATGAGGATGGGCCAGTTTTCAGATAAAACTTATGGGTTGCTTGAGATGTACAATTGTGAGAAAACTTCTTACATCATTCTTTGGATCTGGGCTTCTGGTCAACATAAGTCTCTAAGTAGCAGCTAGGGGTGGTCCAGCTTCCCAGCCACACACGGCTAGGTTCAAATAATACAATAAAGTTTTCTCATAATTCTCACAATTGAAAAAAGTTTTCTCACAAGACAGAAACTGGACTAGACCCATAATTGAATAGACAGAGAACTGAGCTAGCTCCAGAATTGAGTCACAAGATGGAGTCAGTAGGGTTCACTCAATTCCCACGATTAACCACTACTAGACTAATCCCCTCAAGTTCCTCAGATATAAGGATTACAAAATAGAAGAAATGCAAAAATTGAACACATAGAGAAAAACAGATGCAGAATGCCTGTCTAAATAAAAAGTTAAATTTCTCTAAATTTCTCTTTAAAATACAGAATAGGACAGAAGAAAGCATGAGAATTAATAAGACAGGTCAAAGGTAATATAATATAATATAGACAAACTGTAATACAGTAACTTTCAAATTCTAAAAGGCTAGTTGAGTGGTTCTTGCCAGCAATGAGGAGGCATTCTTAGATTTTTAACAAAACAGATAAATGAGATAATAAACAGGATCACAGGATCATAGAGTTAGAACTGGAAAGGAAATTAGAGGTCAATTAGTCTACTATCCTCATATTTCAGATAAACTGAGACCCAGATTTCATTCTGTTTTATTCATGCATGTATTCAAATATAATTTAGCTTAAATAAAGTACCTTAGCATAGTAATCACAATATAATAATGACAATATTAATATTAATAATAGCTACCATTTATATAGCACTTTAATATTTTCAAGGCTCTTTACAAATATTATCTCATTTTATCCTCACAACAACTCCGGGAAATTGATATTAGACTGATCTATGTTCTCTGTAGAATAGTACACAGGTAAAGTAAGGCAGCTCAAGCTAAATTAACTCTTATACCCTGTTTGAATATTTTCCCCCATGAACTAAATAGCATCCAGCAGACTGAATCAATGCATCTTCCAAAGATTCCTGACTTTCACTCAAGTAATAACCATGATATTTAAAAAATCTTATTGAGAGACGAATTCTGAATGCTATGTTTTCTTACATCAAATATTGCTATATTGAATTTCTGGGAGGTAGCATGGCACAATAGATAGCAGCATGCCAGCTGTGGAGTTAGAAAAACCTGTTTTCAAGTCCTGCCTTTGACTAGTTGAGGGACCACAGAAAAATTGCTTTATCTCTCAATGTGCCATGCCACTCTAGAACTTTAATTACAGAGGAGTCACTGATCTGAAGCGGTGGAGGGAATTTCCATACCAAGAAGTCCCTGCTCCCAATGAAATTATGGGTACATGTCATTCCTCTCCCTCTCCCATGTACTCTACTTTACACTCCCCCTGTGACAAAAAAAAAAAATCCTACTGTGATTTGATAAGCAAGTGTTTAGCAACCTTTTTGCCAGGCAAGCCAAATCTCCCCCATGTTAGTTTACCTTATGGCTAAGAAGACTGATCTATGCCATTAAAACATTCCTATTCAATCAGAAATTAAGAAATGAAAAGGCTCATCCAAATGCAACTCAATTCAATTTAACACTTATTAAGTGCCTACTATGTGAGAAATCCTGTTCTAAGCACTGGGGATACAAAGACAGAAGTGTTACAATCCCTCCTATTAAGTAGCAGATGGGACATAAATACAGAATAGTAAATATAAACTATACACGAAGTTGTGCAAAATTATTTCAAGAGGGAGAGAACATTAACAACCTGGAAGAGTTTATAGAACAAAATTTTTCATGCACAAAATTTATAGGGTTTTTAGATTAGATAAGTAAGAAAGCACTCATACCAAATTGTCAATTTCATCTCTTTAAAGTGAATTGATGTTAATAAAGGAACTAAGCTTTTCATTTCCTGTCCTGGATGCATTTGCATCCTCTATCCTAAAACTAAATTACAGAATTGCATTTAATTAGGTAATAGATTCTAACAATTTGTACTTCCTGTAAACTAAGGACCCATCATTTTGACCTCTAGAATTGACTTGATCTGCCAAGACTATGACCAAAGACTGGAACATTTTGACAGTACATTCTGCAAAAAGCTTTCTATACTGGGACTTTACCAAATTGATCAAAATATGCACACAAACTGGAAGTGCACACTTTATTCAATACATTATGATGAATTTGGCCTAGAGCCAAAAGTCACTAAAAGAGACAAATTATGAGGAATGCAGGTGTTAAATACCATACTCCTTCATTTAAAGCACTAGTTGTATGGGTTTACAAAGTGACTCAGAAATACTGTTCCTTGTGACTATAGAAGTGGCTATTTTATGTAGCACGCATAGAGATATGCATATAGAGAGTGCCTTAACTCCTTTCATTGGTCATGCATGTGCTTTCTTCATCACAATTGTCACATGGCAACTACAGAAAGTCAGTGAAAAGGGTCAATTTTTTCTCATTATAATTCAAATATCAGTGTTATTTCATTGGTGATGATATTCATACCATTGATGCTAGATACAACCTGTTTATGCTGTAGGAAACAATGTCCATAGGTAACCATGGCTCAAAAGTCATCTTGTGGACATGTAAGAAGTTAGTAAAAGAAGGAAGAGAGAATATGAAGAAAAATTCATGTTTACACGAAATTATTTCACAAGGAATTCTCATATGAGTGGCTGCAGCCTTCTCTTAATTGGATGCCTAACATAAAAGACTGCATCTCTAAAACTGGTGAGACTGAGATGTTTGCTCTTTCTATCTCTTCCTAGATCTCTTTCTTGTGAGCTCTTTCCTACTGATTCAAAAGGTGAAGGTCATAGTTGAACCATAGCATGGGCACCATGAACTGAATCGGTGAAAGAGGAAAGACTTCCTTCCCTTGCTATCCCTCTTTTACCCATACTTCAGGAAATGGGTCTTGTGGTATTTGTTGCTCACTTTCATTTGTCCTTATCAGTTTTAGGTGCCAGTGGCAATCCACACCAGACCTAGGGAGTATAAGCCATGGTGACCTTGGAACCAAGATGGCAGGTGGGATGTTGCAGCCACTCAGCCTAGCAGAGAAGGCCAGAAAAGGCAAGGTTCCTGGTCCTCAAGCCTGAAAGTGTGTGTGGGGGGAAGACAGGGAGTATTTTGGACATTTTTTGGACTTGGAATTGGGACTGTGCTCTATAGGAACTGAGATAAGCTATGACACTAATTCCCTTCCCCTCTCTAAGGAGGGAAGTAGATTTTAAACCCCACATCTTAAAGAGAATAAATTTATATATTTGTGATTGTATGTTTTGAAATAAATATTTCTTTGTAAAAGTTAATCCAACTGTTAGTAGCTAAATAGAACTGGAGTGTAGGTGAATCCTTTACCCTTGGGGGAATACCATCTGTAAGGGCTGGAACCATTTGCAAAAAGCCTAGATACCCCAACCCTATCCCACCCTTTGTGAAATCTAATCTACCTAGCCCTCTAAGCAAGGAGGCCACAGTAGTCAGTGTTACACTTGTTCTCTCAGTGGGGGGAGGGGGAAGTGGGAAGGTGAAAATATGGACCAGAAAATAAAATGGAATTTTTAAAAAATTAATCTTTCCCCCTCATATAGCCCTTTCATTATATGGCACCATAGGCCTACTGAAGGATTTATCTTCATGTCCCAACCACTCTTTACTCCTACTCAGAAGCCCAAAAGCTGGCTCTTTCATAGACCTTCTAATATCTAAAGGTTACTTCTACTCTTAGATGAATTTGAGTCCTCTTAAAACTGAGCTTGACTGGTAAGATCATAGAAAAATAAATTTAGCCTAAAGACAGAAGGGATCTTAGAGAGTACCTTTAGCAAATAATAGCAATTTTACCAATAAATAAGTACAGTGTCATGAATTTCAGGGATTATGAGGATTGTTCTTTTCAGAATTAACCCACAAATAACCACTCAGGAAGTTGGAGAACTTGGCCTCTCTCTATCCCATTAAAAGGCCCACTCAGCTCTGAACCCATGCACATAGGCTAAGTTCAGCCTTAGGAAGATCTTCATTGGTAAAGAGAAAAGTCAGGCTCCTTTTTTTCTCATACGCTCTACCTTTTTAGGTACCCCTTCATCCCAGAGTACTAAGGAGAATCACTTTAGAGCCTACGTTTAGATCATGTTTAAGGTCTCTCCCAAAAGGGGTTGGTAAGAAGGCACATTCTATAGAGTACTGTGTCTGTGCACTGGCCACTTCCGGGAAATTTATGTTTAGTTTTAAGAGCATCTCTATTTTCATTATTCCCTCTCACAATTTCATATTCAGAAACTGCTCTAATTTTCATTTTTTTGTTTCAATTTATTTCCAGATTTGAATTAGAATTACATTAACATAATGCTTGCTTAATATGGCAGCTGTAATAAATGAGTACTTAACATAAAATTGAATAATGAATATCACTATTCAGAATATTTTTGCATGCCCTGGCATGCTGAAAATATAAAAGATTCAAAAATTTCCCTCTGGTAAATCAAAAGTGACATTCAATATTACAAGGTACCACATGGCAACTAAATGTTTAGGGACATTTAACACAAAAAAATGTTCAAATCTCATTACTTTAAGTCCAACAATTCTAGGATAATCCCTCACATATTTTGGATGAAAATTAAAAGAATTTCAAATATGACCTTTTCCTCCTCACAAACCTCATTCTATTATCTCTGAACTGACTGAGTTTGTACACTATCTTTTGTATTTTTCAGCTAGCATTAATTTTCAAGACAGAAAGGAGGAAGTCCTAGGGTATGAACTTAAAAATTACTCTAATTCAAACCCCACATACAGAAAGGGGTTTTATTTGTCAATTTGAAAAAGAACTTTAAAGATGCTGTGATATGAAGCAGAATTATCACTACTATTAATTGCACAGGCATATTGAAAGGACCCAAGAAAATGACCTCTTCTCATACAGAGAATGCATGTAGAAAAAAATGTCTTAATCTTCTTTTCTGTGCTTAGATAAGTGGCAAGTGTATCTATCACCTCAATTAACCATAAGAGGAAAAAAAAAGTGTCAAAATGGAATTCTCTTTTTGACAAGGCGTTTGTTCTAAAATTAGCAGAGGGAGAAACAAGCAGTTTTATTAGAAAAGCATGAGTGTCAAAAGGGTCTAAGACACATGGTGAGTTTTCCACATGCAAAGTGCTGATTAGAACCATAGTAAATCAAGGAGAGCATTTTCCAGGGTGGTTGCCTGAGCTATAGTAAAATGAGAAGGTTTGTGGTCTAAGTTGACTTTGGAAATTAGATCCTATTAACAAAAAAAAAAAATTTTTGTTTTTTGTCTTCCTAGGCTGTCCCATGCAAAATGAGAATGAGCTGGAAATATGTGTGTGTGTGTGTGTGTGTGTGTGTGTGTGTGTGTGTGTGTATTACCTTAAGCAACAACATGAGTGATTTTGTACATCAAGGTAAGACATTTATCATTGCTATTTACATTTGCCTTTGGTATTTTGAAAGAAATCACAGGTCCTTTTGGCATTTCCTAACAACATACACAATTAAGTTAAACTAAAAAATATTCTTGGAAGAAACTCATTCTTTACTAAAGCTGAAGTCCTCAACATAGAGATTAAAAATTCCATTGTTTGTAGTAAAATTTGAAAATAGCATAATATCATTGGTGGGCCGGCCATATAGGGCTCTTGATATTTCTCTTTTGTGTACAATTCTGTTAATATCCACTACTCACCAAATACCAACGAGATTATGTGATAGGATAATCTTTTCAGATGGAAAGTGTCTGTGCACTGTAATTCCTGATGCAGATAAAGCTATCTACCAAGGAGAAAGGTAAATTATTGTGACTAATAGAAAGAGAAAAAAACTTTCTGTTTTATGAAAGGCTTCCACAGTGTTACAAATTAGTACTGTTTCACAAGGGGTAGAGCGGGGTGCAGGGAGAAACAGGGGAGTCAGGAATCGTATAATCACAAAATCTGAGTTGGGAGAAATCTCATGGGACACCTGGTACAATCTCTATTACATACCCAGTAAATAGTCATTTATCCTTTTTCAGGAAGGTCCTTCCCCTTCATCACCCAAGGAGGAGACACCAATTATCTCCTAAGACAGCCACTGAACTCTTGGACGATTCTAATAACTAGGGTGTTTTTTTTTTAATACGAACCCTAAATCCCTATATGCAACTGTTAGCCATTACTCCTAGTCTTCTCTCTTAGTAGTCTAATCATTCTTCTCCTTGAGAGCCTTTAATGTACATGAAGACAATTATCATACCTCCTCTCCCTACAAAGTCTTTTCTTCTGCAGGTTAAGCATTTCCAGTTTCTTCAACTGAATCTTTTACAGTAATATCAGGAGGTGTTTCACTACCCTGAGTGCTCTCCTCTTCATTCTTTTTAATTTATCAATGTCCTTCCTAAAATTCAGTGATTAGACCTGAACGCATATATAGTCTTGCCAAGTGAGAGTAAGGTGTAACCACCATTTCCTAGGGCATTATGCCTCTTTAAAAGAAGTCTAGGAAGAGATGGAATTAGACTGGGCTTAAGAACCTAATCAGTCTCAAGGCTTAAAATTCTGAAATACAATCTGTAGTACTAACTAAATTGGCAGATGCCATCAGATGGATTGTCTCTTATGCTTTTAGTAAGGATAGTGAACGTGCTTTGTGACTTAAAGATTTACAGGAACATTTTTTGCCAATTTAGGGGTTAAAAAAATCTTACCTGCAAAGGTTAAGTGGTGGGATCCTTTTGGAAAAGTAGTTTTCTGCCTAGAAGAACAAGACAATAAGGAATAGGAAGTGTGAAACATAGTCTCTGTTAGAAATAGAAGTGATTCCAGGTAATTATTGTTGCAACTTTCATTTATTACCCTTCCTGGAGGAATAAAATTATGTCCAAGCATGCAAATCCAAGAGCAGGGCTAGTCCTAGGCAAAATTGTGTTTTGTCTTTGAGCTCCCTGAGAACTTTTTTCTTCATCCTTTCTCCACACGATGGCATCCACCTCTCCTAATACTTCAGATACTGTCAGTATTCAATCTTCTCCCAGCTTCTGACAAAGTCTGTTTTCATGAAGAAATCTAATATTAACCATTCATTTTTTGGTTTGAATTTATTTAAATCAATCCATCATATTTTTTAGGGAAATTTGTATTTTCAGCCTTATCTCTAATTGTGAAATGTTAGGTTTTGTTGGACAGTTAAGGAATTACAAATATCAGAGGGCAAGAGGAAGAGATATTTTACTTATGGTGGAGGTTGGAGAGATCTTTTCACAATGATTCCATTTATTCCTGAAATCTTACCATGTAAGGATTATCAACTCTGCTTATGAATGGTATTGTATTTGTTTACATTAGTTTCCTAATTGTTTAATTTGTTATTTTCTCCTTTGATCATTTTGGAAGAAAAAAAAATGTCATCTTTCTCCACTCTCACTGAATCTCACTGTGCTGGGTCACATAGAACACAGCAGTTTTCAAAGAACTAAAATGCCTATCACTCATGGGTATGGACTTTGAACAAGAATAGGAGTAAAACATGTCATTAAAGAAATGAATGATAGGAAAAGAGGATGGTCTGGTCACATGGTGAAGGTAAGCACCTATGCTTTTGCTCTCTGGAGATTAAATGGTAAAACTATAAAAAATGACGGGTGGAAAATGACAGATGGATTGCATAGGTGAACTGCTAGTGTACTTGGAATGTTAGAAGGAAGCAAAGAAGACCTCTGGCACATTGAGTTGCCTTCATGGTGAATTTACAGGTAGATATGGACAGGCATCACACCAGGTAGGGAGGCATCGATGGGTTATAATCTGTATCACGGGAGGAACAATTCAAATGGCTGAGGTCATAGGTCTGTTTGACTATTGGAGTGAGAACAACCAACAGCATTCCCTGATCTGGAGAGTATTTTATAAGACAAGTCCCTGCTTCCATAATCACAGTAAATTGCTTGTCCTTCAAGTACCACTTCTTCCACTGGATGGAGAAATTCTCTGGGACATAGCTATTACGCATGCTCAGCAGCCAGGGCAAGTGTTCAGTGCTTCACATTAGTGAGATCAAACTTAACAGCCTGTAAGAAAATATACCTTTATTCTAGTAAATTTTCTCCCACTTCAAGCGAGACTTCTCTATACCTGTGTTTTTCTGTGTTGTTTCTCTCTCCATTGCCATTTCTATCACTAAAAGCAGTAGATTCAGCCATATAATTTCATTCTCGCACATGATCTTGGTCATTTTCATTATCACAAAGGTGATAATTCTGCCCAGTTTTCACCTCCCATTTCCTAATTTAGAGTTTAAATCTGTGCCAGAGGCAGCAATGGCATATGAAGAAATGTGGTAAACTTCTTAAGTATTTTTATCTGTGAGATTCATGTACAGGCTAAAATTTAAGACTTGCTGACATGAGAATTTCAAAGCTGTTTTGGCAAGATAAACTCTCCTTCCTGTGCTCTCTTTTAGGTCTGATTTGTTGCTGTCATTGCCTGGTCTGGTTTTAAGTTAGCTCTGTCCAAAACATACTGACATCATACATGTCATGGCGAACTTCAACCATTAAACAAGCTTCCTGGGTTAGGATGCCAAATCTGCCTTGTCAGCTTGGCTTCCCTAAAACCCTTCATCATAAAATTGGCCTTAAATGGGAATTCACGATTTGGCACTTATCTGTGATCTCAAGGAAATAGAGTTTATAGTCAACTGCAGAGATCTGAAGATTGCAAAACAAGAAACCATCTCAGAATTTTTAAGGGGGGGGGGCGGATATTGCTACAGTTTAGTAACATGGAGCCTGATTTTCCCACATTAGGAAAAGCTTCCAACAAGTAGAGTTGTCTAAAAGTAGAAGGAGCTACCTTGACAAATAGTAGAGTTTCCCTTTATTGGAGGTCTTCAAGCAGAGGCTGGGTGGCCATTTTATAGCATGGATTCCTTTTGGGTATGACTTAAACTATATGGCCACTGAAGACCCTTGCAGAACTCAAGTTCTATAATTCTGTGATATAATTACTCAAATGGTGTCCAACTCTCCACTTCTACAAATGATATGAAGGACTTCTCTTTGAACTAGTGCCACTTTGCCTCCAATTTCTAGTCAGAGCATCTAGATCATTAATAAACTAAGCAAAATTAATACAAAGACAAACAGTTATTGAGTAATATTGTCCCACTGAATCTAAGAAGCTTAAACATTTATTTCACATCCTCCCAGTTTAATTCTATGTGTGTCATTTGTATGATCTTATTCCCTATTATTCCAAGACCAGAGGAATTATTTCAGACTCTCAGCTGCTGTAGTATTATCTGGCTGTTCTAAATCTCATCACATCTCCAATGAATAACTCTTGATTTTTTTCCTCAAATACCAGATCCAGCATTATAAAGAAAATTAAAGAGTATTTGTTGAGTACTTAATGTGTATTCAACTGTGAAGACTACAGAAGAAATATAAATTAAGATAAATGCCTTTATGGAGTTTATAATCTAATTGTCAGGAGAAGATATTGAACAAAGCAAGAGAGAATCTAATTAGATTCTAAATTTGTATTACAAAGTGTTCTAGGGATTCAGAAAAGTTTGGGAAAAAGAAAGGGGAAGAAAGATGCCCACAGTTGGAGTTCCACACTTGTGACAGAAACAACTGCTGAACTCTGCAGATGCCTTCTTTACTTCCTTTTCACTCACCACTTACTTTTTACATAGAGAAGAAAGAGTAGGTGAACAAGGACTGATCTGAATAGGTCTAAAATTGAAACATGAAAGCCAGCAAATACTTTCAGAGAGACATGAAAATTCTGGATTTTTAGCATCAAGCTCATACCTTTATTTGGTCATAGATGTTAACAAAAAAGAGGTAAGAAAAGCTGTTGGTAATTGTTGGTTGTGTTCATTCTGAAACTTAAGAACTAGGGGGAAAAAAGAAATATAGAAACATACAATAGGGTTTTACTATAAAATAACACTACGCTAAAAGATTCTTGAATGCGGCAAAATTGCTTTATGACAAAATCCCTTTGTAATTTATGTTAATTTCATGGATTGGGTTCAAGATAGACTATATCAAATTCCACTCCACTGTATAGTAGTAGAAAGAATAGTCGTCTGTGGTTCTTGGTACTGGTGCCTGGGGACAGCTTTTTTACTAGCCTTGAGAAAGTTAGTTTATTTCTCTACATCTCTGTTTCTACATCTATAAGGGGGTAGATTAGGTGATCTCTAAGGTCCTTTACAGCTCTGAAATTTTATTGTGCTATAATTTGTAAGATTCCATTGTATACTTTTTTCCAAACTTAAGCTAAAGTCACCAACATAAACTCATGTTTTAGGTTTCCTATATGCTCCTTTCCCACAACAATATGCATGGATAACACTAGCCATTACATTACAAAAGAAGTCATGCCATTTATCAAGCAATACAAATTTATTGAATGTTAGGATATGACATGTTTTCAGCTGTGGGACATTGTCATAAAGAACTTAAAATCTAGCTAGAAAGTCAAAACTAAGATACAGGAAACTTATAGAGAATAATAAGTGTTTTCCTGGCTCTACTATTTACTGTAGCCTATGTAACCTTGGGTAAGTTACTTTATTTCTCTAGGCCTCAGTTCCTAAGAAGCAAACTGAGGAGACTGGATAAGATGACATTGAATATTTGGTTCAAGGGATTCAGAGAACAGAGTATTCTATAGGCTAGAATGATCAAATAAGATTTAATGGAGAAGAAAGAACATAAACTAGGCCCATGTGAAGATGGTATCATGTAGAAGCACCTCTCTTGGAGTCAGAAGACATAGGTCCAAGGCATGACTCTGCTACTTTCTTGTTGTGTGATCATGAACTTCATTTTTATAGGCTTTGATTTCCACCTCTATTGAATGAGAGGATTAGGCTAAATGGTCTCTACAATCCCTATCAGCTCTTAACATTCTGTGATGCTGATTGGTAGGACGTAGAAAAGTAGAAGGAAGTTGGAAGGACATTTCAAATGGGATGAACATAGTGAGCAAAATCAGGGAGGTAGGAATGAGAATGCCATGTTTGAAGGACAGTAAGGACAATACTGTAGCGAATGATATGGGTAGGCGATATAGTAGAAAGAGTACCAGAGTTGGAGCGAGGAAGATCTGAATCCACACTGCATGGCCCTGGTCAAGTAGCTAAGCCTCTCAGTCTCTGTTCAGCTATATAATGAAGCTAATAATAGCACTTACCTTACAGGGTTGTTGGAAGGATTAAGTAAGAGAATTATTTGACAAGCCCTGTGTAACTGCTAGCTGTTACCATCATCATCATTATTACTTAGGGATAAGAGGAAAACAAGTTGATTAAAGTGAGAGTATATTTTAAACAACCCTGAAAAATCAACGGAAGACATGGTCCTATGGATAATAGGGAGCCATTGCAGGTTTCTTAAAAAAGTAAATGATAAGATAAAGGTATTGTTATCAGATCATTGGTCTGACAAGAGTATGCCTGCCCTCATACTAAGGGATATCATACATTGATGTTACCTCAAATATCCTAATTTCCCAGTTCTTCAAATCTACTCAAATCCTATGACCTACTCGTCCACTCCAACTCAGTTGCATATAGGAAATGGTCATACCCTTCAACTCTGAAATTCCTTTACCCAATTTTGCATTATTCCGTCTTTCCCTACTTCTTAAGACCCATTATCCTGTTTTTTTTTTCCTCACTGATTTCCAAATTCTCCACCCCTCATGATCTTCCCAGGCCATCACCCTGAAATGGATATA